AAAAATAAAACTGTAAAATATAACTTTTATTTAAATTTATTAAAAAATAAAAACTTTTTTAATTATAAATAGTAAAAAATTATTACTTTTTTTCGTCGATAAAAATTATTCGATAATTTTGACAGCTTTTTAAAAGTTTTTAAAAAAAGATTTATCGAAAATCCGGAAATTATTTTAAAATAAACCGAAAAATAAGTTTATAATTTTGCTACTAAAAATTTTATACTAATTAATTAATATATTAACAAAAAAACTATTTTATATATTAAAACTAGTTTTGATAATAAAAATTTGCAAATTTAATATATTTATAAAAATTTAGATTTTTTTTTTAAAAATATAATCGAATTAAATAAAAATAAAACTAATATTATAATTTAATTTTATAAAAAAAATATTAAAAAAAAGCATAAAATTTATCGTAATTAATAATATAATTAAATTTAAAAAATTAAGCAAAAATAGTAAATAAAAAATTTAAAAAAAAAACTTGCTAAAAATTAAACCTTTCGAAATAATAATAATTAGTCTAATTGCCGAAATTTTAATAAAAATAATTATAACTATTATAATAGCTATAATAATTAAAATAACTATAACTAATGTCGAAATTAAAATAATTATATCGTTTTTGTTTTTTAATTAAAATTTAAATAGTTTTAAAAATAAAAACTAGATTTCCGATTTTTTTAAAATAATAAATTTAATAAATTTCGCAATAATAACAAATTGAAAAATAAACAGTTTTTTAAAATTAATAGCAATTTACGTTATAAAAACCGATTTAATAAAAATAATAATAAAAAATTTAAATAATATATATATTTTTAAAATAAAAATAATAAACCTTAATTTAATATTTATATTAAAAAATCTAAAATTAAAATTAAAGCTATAATAATTAATAAATAAAAAGTTTTAAAAAATATAAATATAAATAATTTTTATTTACTAAATGTTTTTAAAATAAATTAGCTATAATAAAATAACGATATTAATAATAGTAAAAATAATAATAATCAGTTTTTGTCTACAAAAAAAAAATAAAACAAACGTTATAAAAAAATATTTTGCTAATTTTAACTAAATAATAAAAGTTTTTTGACGCGCGCCCACATGGGCGGCAGCCCCACTAGGGGTGGATGTAGATTAGATAAGCTGATTAGATTAGATAAAATAGCAGCCGGGGCCCCACACATCTATATGGTGGGTGCTTCTGCGTATAGGGCCCTGCCCCTGCACTCTCTCTTCTACATCATCAATATACATAATATCAACATATACACCTGCACCCCCTGGCACCGTGTTCCATTTTTTAAATTTAGCAATAATATTATTAATAATATAATTAATTTTATACGTTTAGTTACTAAAATATTTAAATTAATCGAATTTAATTTAAGTAATAATACTATTTTTAATATTATATTTTTTTTTATCGATAATAATAATATAATTTTTAAACTATATATTATATCGGTTTTAAATAAAAAAGCTGACGTATTAAAAATATTATTATTTTTGTAAAAATTTCTGAATAAGCCTATTATTTTTATAATTTTAAATAATATTTTATAAAATATTAAGTTTCGAAAATTATTTTTTTAAAAAAGGCCGAAATATCGAAAAAATATATATATATATATATATATATATACTATTAAAAAATAATAGCATAAATAGAAAAACTATTTTTATTTTAAAACTATTATATATATTTTAGAAAATTTTTACAAATTTTATTTCGATATATATTTTTTTCTTTTTTTATTTTTATATATTTTATATAATAAAATATATAGCAAATATCCGAAAACTTTTTTTAGTAAAAAATTTATTTTTAATAAAATAAAAAAAAGTCCTTAAATTATATAAATAATAGACTTATTTGTTAATTTTTTAAATTAAAATAAAAAGCTATAGACTAAAATCGAATATTTCTACCTAATTAACTAATTTTGTTATTCGATAATTTTTGGTATATTTTTTTTACGTAAATATCGATTATATATTAAATAAAATAGTTTAAATTAAAACGACGAAATTATTATTGCCGATTTTAAAAAAACGATTTAAACTTGCAGCATAATTTAAAAAAAAAAAAAACTGTATAAAAAAACCAAAATCCCGATTAAAGCAACAAAAAATTATAAAATATTACTAAAATATAGGATAACTTTAAAAATTAAATATTTTAATATATCGTTAACCGTCGATAGCTATTTTATCGGAAAGATCTTTTACTTTAATTCTATTTTCGAATCTTTCGGTTTATTAAAAAATAGAATATTATTAGAGCAAAACAAAAACTATAGATTTGCTAACTTTGGTTTTTTGCCAATTACGATTTATAAAGACCAAGTTATAGGTATATTGTCTAAAATCTTTAATACAAGGCGCATCGACACAAAGGGAGTTTTTACAGCCGATCCAAGAGCTACGCCGGAAATGGTGCCACTTGGTGATGTCGCTAAGGCTGAGATCGACGCTTATAATACGCTTTCTATATTGCGAGACGCTGAGTTTGAACAAACTCCTATTATTCAGCCAGGTCAAGACATTGACGAGCTCTACGAGTACCAACAGGCCAAGGCCAATAGACACGATAATAATGTCTTTGGTTGAGATTGAGGAGGAAGCAGGGATTAATTATGGTTTTGATAGAAAAAAGACTAAGATAAAAATTAAGAACTAGATTAAGATAATAATTAAAAGTAAAATAGAGATTTAAAGAAGACCTTATAAATAGTATTCTGGAAGCAGCGAGGGCGCGGCTTTGAAAAAGGAGGGGGGCATATCACGTAGGTCTTCTATACTGCTGACTAAGCTACCCCGGGGCTATATCTACTTCTAGTGCTTACCTCTCTACTCCAACCCTTCCACCTAGACACACACATCACACGTTAGATTAGCTTCACTTAGAATACAGGTCTTGATACCACTTCGCTCCCAGAGCTGTACCTCGTGAAGCCACGTGGTTGATCACCACTACAGCTCTCGCACCTAGAAATGCTGAAGCTTAAATGTCGCCGCAGACTTCTCTGAAAATCTACGACGCTTCCCTAAGGACAGTAGATCAGATATTCATCGAAGCACGGATCGGAACCTCGCTTGATCTCATAAACATTCTACACTGAGTCGTTCAAGAAGCTTGGCTAAACCGCCGACATATTGTTATGGGGACTAGCAGAACAACATGTGACGAAAAAAATGAAAGGCTGTCCATCTCCAAGCGCCCTATAGGGGTACTTATGCACATCAGCGTTGTTTTGATATGCTCTGCGAATCTTATGGTGAAAACGAATAAGATGATGCATTTCATGTATCCCCCAGATTCCATCGTTGAAGGGGATAGGATAAAGTGGAAAAAGGAAAACCTCGAAAAAGCTCTCAATGACGATTATTTTGAAGATAAGTTAAGCGCGTCTTTTCACTGATCCAGCTCAGCTATTTCTCTTCAACTAGACCCAGCACCGCCACTGCTATTTCGGCAGCGCAGTATAAATTTCATGGTCGCATTCTTTACCAGTCGCGTCGAGGTAGTACTGAGCTTGAGGCACTTCTGTTACAGCTCCGCCGCCTTTGCGACAGGTGACATACAACTTCTTTACTATCTGAAAAATCCTTCTGCCCCCTCTGGAAGCCCAGACATCGGTTAAGTGAACTAAGTCAAGGACAGAAGCCGCTTGTATCATGGCCAAATCTCCCACTTGTGCATCACGCACGATCCACAGCCGAGATTCGGGCGATCAAGATTTCGACGCGCTTAAGAGACGGTCGGAAAAGATGCGAGAGGTGCTAAGCCAAATAATCGAGGCAAAAGATGGAAGTCATTCGCGTGATCATATTTGTGACACTCCTAAGCCTTCCATTGTAAAATCACCATGTTGATCAAGATCCTCATATGTGACAGCGCTGACGTGCATTGAATCAGGTCATTCGTCACGGCTTCTTTGGCATGAATACCTCAGACATCAAAAATCTGAACGACAACCAACGCATTTACTAGTTCGTAGGGTACCGACGACAGCTGCTTGTGCTAGGACCCGCGTATATCTACGGCTATAGATGAGAAACCTAGCAAGGCTAGCTCAAGTGGCACGCAGACAGACAGAAATAAGGCTACATGACAGTCTTTGCACTTATCTCGGCCTCTCCTTCCGCTTGCGAACGTTGCCAATACGATTTTGGGAAGTCGAAGTACCATAGTGACATTGAAAAGGGAGGACTGGGAGGCCGAAGACCAACGAACTTGTCCGAGATGATATGAACCCTCGTCAAACAATTGACGTATAGACATGAGAATATTTTATAGAACTTCATCGGTCTTTCGGAAGGCATATAATGGAGTAGGGATGGTACAGATGGGAGGCCAGAAGTCAATCGCCCGACCCGACCAGACAGAAGGTACATTGTGCAGCGACTGTTAGACTAGAATATAACGACGATGATCACAATTAGAAGATACGTGATGATTGGAACTTCAACATAAATTGTCTTGTACAGTTTTGAATCATTGATCAAGTCTTGTTGGTGCTCTGACATACAAATGCAAGTGAAGTTCCCCTGCCGGCCCTGAAACGAGCTTGCGACGAGACAATTTGGCCGTCCAAATTCCGGACGAGTGAGTACTGATGCTTCATACCAACGCCTTCCTCACAAAGATGCGGATAAGTTATTCTATTTTTAATTGTTCTAGAGCCTCAGAGGTATAGATCCAAGATGTCTGCTCAGGTCCAATTGACAGCCCTACTAACTTGGATATGGTGTTCGAAAAACTAGTAAAATAGGGGGGGGGGGAGAATGAGAGGGGTTGATAGCACTAGGTTAGACTATTCTGTGTATTAGCAGTGGGATCACTTTGTTGGCCTTATTAGCGGTCTCCTTATTGATTGCTTGCTAAAAACCACCCGGATTGGTCCATGCGACCCCTCTCCAGACCTCGGCTAAATTTCATCCTTCATATCTATTGTTAAGCTTCCCACTCCTCAACGACCAAAGGCACTTTGGCGGAGTGGTTAAGAAAGGCTCCCCTCCTTCTTTAATGAACTAAAACTAACCTCTTCTACAGCGCGCGGGCCTGCTAAGCCCGTTCCTTCGGGAGCGAGAGTTCGAATCTCTCAGGTGTCGAGTTTTTTTTTTTCTTTTGAATTTTGTATTCTGTTTCTTTTGTCGAGATCAGTTATTTTTATCGTTTCTCCACTGCTCAATTATTTTTGAACACTCTAATATACAAAAGACAGACCCTTTTTGTCTATTGATTAAAATGAATCTTGTATAGCACACCTCAATTTTCGCTTGACGCTTTTTCTTAGCAAAATCGCTCTTTGATACAGCAAGCAATTGCATGCAGGCGAGGTGATAAGCAAATAGACACAGCAAACTATCCAGCTTGTGTGATGATGCGCCATACTTAGTATGCATTACGGATGGTGATGATGGACATTGATGCAGCATTGCGCTTTCACAAAATGCCATAGTTGCTGCAGTGGGTCATGATCGCCGGGACGGAGGGAGCGGTCCGCTTCCTAATCCGGAGGAAGGTATCGATTCAAGTAATCATGAAAGGGGTGTTGATGCGAGTAAAATAATGGAATGGTGTCAATAAAGTGTGGATATTGATGTTGATAAGTGGAGGTGAGTAGGTCTATGACACCGTGCCCAGATGAATGGCTATAGTGATGGTAACTGCCAATTGCACTGGGTACTACCTTTCTGCATACTACTTGGCCAAGTGCCTACCACCTACGAAAAGATTCGAGTGGGCCATTTTCATCTGGCGATAGCTTCATTTCTGTCGTACACGCTTCATGGCTAGTTTGTCGATGATTGAACGAGTTACTGTCTCTATAGCTCCCATCCCATGTGGCCTATTTCCCCTATCTGCGTCTGTTACGCCATGCTATCGGTCGAGTATGTCGATGACTTTACTTAGTGTATTTCAATATCTTTACAACGGGTAGGCATATGTCGCCCCGGGCCTGTTAGAATATGTGGAAGTCCGTTTATTTGGGCGTTTCGTACGGTGATCTTTAATTGAATCGTTAAATGAGAATTGATGTGGCGGAGATGTGGCGGAAGTGAATTGTTGTGGTGATAACTTCAAGTGAGAGGGGTGCAGACTAAGTAGTGCCCTTGACTCAGACATGGCGATGGTGATGCCTCCAATTGACCAAGTGGATTCTAACGACCTCGTCGCCCGGGTCAGATCACCAGTTGATGCAAGTAATAATGGAGGGGTGACGTCAATTTTAAGTGTGATATTGATGTGGATGAATGAATGAAGTGTGTAAGTCTATGACACCGTGTCTAGATGAGTAGATATAGTGACCGTTACTGTCAATTACACTGGGTACTATCTTCCTGCCTACCAACGCCCTATCCACTATTAAGACACGCTTTATACTTCGCTAGTTTAAACTCACTCCTCATTGCACCGGCAGTAACACCATACGTTACATAGCGGCTATGAAGCTTTGAAACTCCATTGTCGAACAGAATATAAGGGCATTATGCGTCTACTTCCGGAGAATTTGGCCTTACGATGGCAGGAGGAATTTTTACCAGAATTCCAGCAGGCGGTCAGCCAGAGGCGTATTTCTGTCACCTTTTCCACCGCCGACTTCGCTTTGCCTTGAGCTTTTCCCCACTTGTTACTTGTCGTGGTGATTGATCGCGAGACACCCTGGGAAAGTCGCTACGACATCGGGAGACCTGCACTTACTTTCTGCTCGAGAAATCTCTTTTCTATCTATCCTCTTTCACCTTACGATTGGGATTACAAAAATAGCAAAAATATTCTCCGAGTTTCCCACAAAACTTGAGTTGGTCAAGGAAACAAAATTGGGAACGCAAGAAGGGCCAACAAGTGTTTCACAACGTTCACAATTTAGTTGTCAATGACACCGCAAAGTCTACGGGAAGGGGATAAACCCCCATTTCCAGCCAAACAATTAACAATACTCGGTAAGCCAAGCTCCCAACTCACTTTTACTTTCGTTTCAATCACCTTTGCCTTGGCTTTACCAGGAAAACCCATTTTCCAGAAAAGCCATTATGAAGAAACCGGAATTGAAAGATAAAAAAAAAATTAGAGACAAAGAATTGAACAACAACCCATACCGTGAAAAGAGAAGCAGTACTGATTATTCAATGCCATAACAGCGATATGCCGGTTCTCAGAGCCCATAGCCTTCAACTCAATCCTCGCGTACACGTACGTGATGGTGCAGGACCTGCACGGCGGCGATGCCACAGATGCGTCGTTCTACGCTGGACTTCTCGTGTCAGCATACGCCGTGGCCGAGGCCCTAACAGCCGTCGGCTGGGGCATTCTCTCGGACCGCTACGGCCGGAAACCAATCGTTCTGTTCGGCCTCGTGGGCGTGGCGATTTCTTCTTTGATTTTTGGCCTCGCTAAGTCATATTGGGTTGCGCTGCTGGCGCGGTTCGTTGGGGGTGCTCTAAATGGGAATGTTGCTGTGAGTTCTTGAGCCTTGTCCATTCCGTCTTATTTATTGAGTGACTGGGGCATTGACTAATATGATGTTTTAGGTTATGCAAACTATGGTCGCTGAGATGGTCCAATTGCCCGAGCACGAGCGTAAGTCTTACACGAATATTCTGCTTATGACCTGATGCCTCATATATGAGAATTCTACTAAAACCCACCAGCGGCGGCATACGCAACGCAGCCCTTCGTCTGGAACCTAGGCGGCATCATAGGCTCAGCAATGGGTGGGTTTCTAGCCCAACCAGCAACCTTCTACCCATCACTGTTTCCCAAAGACGGTCTATTTGGGCGGTATCCATACTTACTGCCCAACCTCGTCTCGGTCATCATCATTGTCCTTGCTGTCGTGCAAGGCATGTTATTCCTAGAGGAGACGAATCCACAAGGAACACTTTACCGCGACAAAGACGGAGAAGTCGAGACGTTGGCCCGGATGAATGGAGAGGATGAAGCGATCGACGACGGCGAACCGGACGAGATTACCCCTCTCGTGCGCACCCGCAGCAACGCGACACAGCGCAGCGCGAACCGTCGGGCCTCTGTTGTAAGTTTCGAAGGCCGATTCCTCCTCGAAGAGAGCATGCCAATGCCCTTTGCCGTCGAGCAAAGCATCGATCTCCGGCGGACATCATTCGGCACAATGCACTCAATCAAACTGCCCTCAGACCTGCAAAAGCCCTACAGGCTGTCCCAATCCGGCGCCGTGGCCGTTCTTGAGGAAGAATGCGGCAGTGGCAGCGGGAGCGGAAGTACAAGAGAAGATGAAATTGAGGAGGAGTACACGGACCCGGTATACAACAAGTCCGTCATCATGGTGACGATCGCCATCGTCATCGTTGCGTGGCATCAAATGGCGGGGTGCACGCTCCTCCCGACGCAGATGCTCGACCTTCCCCGGGCGCCAAGGGGTCACCTAGATCTTAAGGGCGGACTAGGTTTCACGATCCACGATGTAGGCGTCTTCCTCGCGGTCAATGGGTTTATCGGCCTTTTTATCCAAGCACTGATTTTCCCCATCTTCGTCAACAAGGTTGGCGTCTGGCACTCTCTGATCTGGATGACAATCCTATACCCGACGTGCTACATCATCCTGCCGTTCATCTCCGCGCTGCCCGAAGTCTGGCAGCAGAGCGCAGGGGTGTACCTCTCTATGATCCTGCAGAGTCTATTTGGGATCATCGTGTCTCCCTGCGCGCTCATCCTGCTCAAGAACGCGACTCCCAGCCCGGCTGTTTTAGGCCGGGTGAACGGCCTTGCTATGTCCGCTTGCTGTCTTGCGAGGACGATCTCGCCGCCTTTGCTGGGTATTGTGTACTCCAATGCTGGGTCTGGCGCGGCGTGGTTTAGTACGGCCGGTGTTGCGGTTTTGGGTGCTGTGCAGTTGTTATGGATCCCGCGCGAGCATGTCCATGATGTGGATGATCTTGTCGTGGAAAATGGACCTCTTGTGAAAACTATCAGTGGCTCGGACAGTGTGGTTGAAGTTGTAATTGAGGAGTAGTTATGACGAAATGGGTTTCGGGAGTCTGTAGTAGCGGCGTCGCACGTCGGATAGCGTCGCTTTACTTCGCAGTTTGTCGTCCTTTTATATTGCCATGATGACGACAACTGGGCGAAGCGCATTTTCCGGTTGGAAATTTGGTGGTGTCATTTTTCCTTGGTATCGGTGGCGCAAATTGCTAGCTAGATTATACACCGGTGAGCCCGGAATCACGAGTTATGACAAGATACACAACCCAGACATGAATAGAATGATTAGCAGAAGAGGTTCACAATTGAACTTGAGTCGATGATGCACCTCTCAAGACTACCTAAAAATATACATGCATCCGAACAATGTGAATTATTGACTTATTGCTTACTCTGAGCCTTCCGCCGTATGGACTCAACCAAGCTGCTGAGGTCGTCATCTACACCTTTTATTTTCTGTTTCTTCTTATCCTTCCTCGAGATCGTACCATGATCTCCATCCTCATCGCCACCGGAATCATCCCCTTTGTTCTTCCTCTTCTTGCGCCCTTCCTCGAGAATCTTCTCCATCACTGGCGTTTTCTTGTACGCAGAGAAGGAAGGATCGATAGCGAACTCATGGTTCTCGAATACAGCCTTGAAACGATTGTCTTCTGCAACGCCGATGTCGAGACCTTCTTGCAGCCCGCCGTGGTCTATTATTTCATCCTTGCTCTTGGGTTTCTTGCCCTTAAGCTTCTTGGCTTTCTTCTTCTCGGCGCGTGTTATCTCGTCCATGTTAAAGTGGTTGACGGCTTGTTGGCCTTCGTCACCTCCCATGATCTCCTCCAGATGGGCTCTCTGAAGGGCCGTCTCAGCTGCTAGCGCTTCCTTTTCTTCTCGCCTCTTACGCCTCTCTTCTTTCCGTTCCGAGGTCTTGGATACCTTTACAGGTTCTTCCGTGGTGAAGAAAGGATCATCAAAGCCCAAGTCTTCCTTTTCAGATTCTTCGGCGGGTACATCTTCTGTAGCATCAAGAGACACGCCGTTTCGTTTGGCGACAGCGATCTCCTTCTTACGAGCTTTACGTTCTCGCTCTTTCCGTATGTATTTTTCGGCTGTAGTCTCTTCCCTTTCAGGCTCGTTCTTGCCCTTATTGCCCAGTAAT